GCTTTTCTGAATATAGAGATTCTGCTGGATCGAATGGTGTGCAGAAATATACATGTTTCTGGGCAAAGCTGAGAGTACGGTAGGTTTGAAAATGGAATGGTGTATAACGTTAAGAAAATAACTTGACTGATTTCAGAGTTATCTGATATCCCTGGACAGTATCGTGATCATCGTAAAATGTCTGACGAGATAAATAATGTTTGCCGAAGGTATATCTCTTTGCCTTTTCGGAATAAATATTATGATACAACGGCATAAAACAATACTGATTATGGATCGTATTCGAAAAAATTTCGATTTGTTACCCCTCATACTCGGTAGCTGTGTATTGCAGTTTATGTCATCCTCAGTTGTTTTGATGTTTAACAATTTTACCGTTGGAAATTCGTAAGAGTGCACCCATGAAAATTTTGCTCATCATGCATACAGAGTTCTAATTTTTTGCATATGACCGTTATTCAAGACTGCATTCACATTTGGATTCAGACAGAATTTGTGCCTTTTCAGACTCGATCTTAACCGGCTTATCGTTAGTTCATTTGGTAGTTATAAGATAAGCGTTCGCTTGCTGTTTATGTGTTGGGTAAACATTCACTTTCTTGTCAGCGTAGTGTATGTGCGTTAATGAGCAATATGATATCTATCTATTGTTCGCAATATTCGTTTACTCTGCAATGTTCTGCTCTTGTGATGTATGCGTTGCACATCTCACATTTCTTTCTTGTTTTCTCATCTTACACAGGGCAATGGATGCACACCACTGCCACTGAACATGTGGCAATCAGCTGGTCTCATGAAAAAGATGTGCACGCAAAAATCATAAAGTATTCTTTGCTAAACTGAAAACTAAATGGAAGTGATTAAAGATGGAATCATCGAATTAATCGAGTCTCTTCAGGTCATCCTCATCGTCGCGATCGTTCAACGTTCGTTCATAAGAACGTCGGTGTGTATAAATGCTTAGTGCATCTTGAATTAGTGCACAGGAACAATCAGAACCAGTATTTCTAAGGGACACTTCTTTTCTCATAAATGTTGACTCGAATCAAGGTTATGTCCAAGTGTACTGCAATTTTTATGTCGATATGTGTGTCTTATGTCGATATAAATATAATAATGAATGCCGACTGTCTTATAGGTAATGTATTTACATGAACAACGACAACGACATGCAATCTGATTAAGAGGAAGAATAACGACACCAATAATAATCATGTTGAGCACTCTCCGTTACGTTTCTGACTACTTATTTGCGCTTGGCGGTTACCTTTATGGACGTACGTTTCGCAAAACGATGAACACAACGCTGACACCGATCGAATCTCGTCTACAACTCTCACCGATTGTCTATCGCATTTTGGGTGCGAATCCGAGTCCTTTAACTCTACGTGGCACGAATACATACCTCGTGGGCAATGGAAAAAGGTATCAGTTTTGTTAATTTAGTGATCTTTTTTTGTTTCATTTTTTGATGAGTGTATTTGGAAATATTTTGAGTAATAATTATTAAACGATGGTATTTGGAAATACGTTATTTGATGAATGTATTTGAAGTTGTGATGAGAGTGGATAAATGTTTTAGTCGAATTTTAATCGATACTGGTGAATCAAATGTGATTCAATATATTGACGAGTTACGTGAAGCGTTGGGCGAATGCAGTATATCATCGATAATATGCACACATTGGCATGACGATCATGTTGGTGGTGTTAGTGATGTCATTGATAAGGTTTGTTGTTTTCTTTGTTGGATCAATCGAAGGACCGGGGAGATAGATCAACGAAAAAGGTCCTTAGAGGATGTTATTTTGGTTGGTAAATCAACAAACGAGATCGAAAACTCTTCAAGAGACGTCACGAAAAATGGAAGGAATTTTAGAAATTCAGCTGACTTTCCTGATAACAATATTAATAATCAGCAATTGTTTGTGCACACTTAATAAAGATTGATTTTTTGAGGCGGTGTTGCTTCGTTGAAGAATTGCAATGTTAAATTAGTGGTGAAGTAGTTGATTTGCTCAACTAATTCATAATAGTGAGATTGATTTGATTTCTTCACTTGTTGAAATGTTTCGATTACTCGATGTTTTTCATTTGTTTCAGATAATTGGCAAATCTGTACCTGTTTACAAGTTCAAACGTACTGATCTGAATGAGAATGATTCAAAGTATCACTACGTTGAAGATGGATATGTGCTTCAAACAGAAGGAGCTACGTTACGGTTGGTTAACATTGCACAGTCTGTTTCAATTCAGCGGTAATGAGATGAAATATAATCAGCTAAATGCAAATTTCGTTGCGCTTTTTGATTGTCTGTACGAATGATTGAATTTATGAAGCAGTTAAAATTTGAATATCGCGTTGCAGTCTCATCTCAACGTCAGGTCATACCACCGATCATATGTCGATTTATTTGGAGGAAGAGAATGCAGTATTCAGTGGTGATTGCATATTGGGTGAAGGAACAACTATTTTTGAAGACCTTTTCACATATATGCAAAGTCTGAATAAACTTCTTCAGATGAAACCGACTAGGTTGAAATTTTCGACAGTTTCCATCATTATATCAACTTTTCTTGTATAAAAATATGAACATCTTGATAATGTCAGTGTTAATACCAAGAATATTAATAGTAGTCATGAATTTCCTATTTATAACTGCTGTTACTATTGTTGGTATTAACACAAAATCACATGCTTCCAAAAGCATAAAATTCTCACGAACTCATTGTGAAATTTTGAATTTGTGATTGATAATCTCAATAAAAAAGCTCATGAAACATTTTCGTTGTAATGTGTTCATGAATGCTAACGTGGGAGTGTGCACGTTGTTGAATCGATGACAGTTTCTGGGTTGTTTGATATTAAAGGAGCACAGATCACTAAGACAACTTGATAACTTTCAGGATTTATCCAGGTCACGGGCCGGTGATCGAGAATCCAGTTGAAAAGATACAAGAATACATCAATCATCGTAATCAACGTGAACAACAAATATTGGCCGTGTTGAGTTCATGCAAAACAGCATCGAGTATGCACATCACTAATGAGATATACAAAGTGTGTTCTTCTCTACTTTATTTATTTGTTTTTAAAAGCACAAAAAACTATTCAATACTCATTGCAATCTCTTTTCATTCCACTGATTTTATTAAGCTCGATATAAGATGGCAAAAATTTTCAAAATTACTTCTATATTGCTTACACATCCGCGAATTTCATGCGCAGTCGTATTCGGCAACTTGCTTGTAGCAAATGTAAAACCTTCCATGCATATAATTAGATTAAACTCAAATCGAAGAAGAGATTTGTACGTTTCCATTTGATAATATTACTGAATATTTCCCATGAATAGCGGTGATATGCTGGGATTTTTTCAGGACATCTCTTTGGGCGTTAAATTAGGGGCACTGAATAACGTTAATCATCACCTCTCGAAACTGTTGAAAGAGAATAAAGTGCAGAAGATTGGAGTCGATAGTTATCGTTTGGTCGCAACCTCTGAATGAACAATCAAAATGACATTCAAATCGAGCAATTCTCGTCAGATTTGATCATTACCGTTTCAGTTTAATGCTTGATGAATACTTCTGATGATATATGTATTTCAAGTCAACGAATTCTTTATTTTAAGTTTATTATTATTAAGTTTGTTTCCATAGCACTTCATCTCTTTTGAATATTTAATATATTTTCATGATTTCATATCACAAAATATCGAAATCGTTTGAATGTGGCTGAAACAATTGATTGCTTTTTTAAATTATACCTTTGCTTACGTGTATCTTCGAATGTTCCTATTTTCATTCCAGTTGAAAGTGTTCAATACCTCCGTCATTTGGAGAAATTCATTTCTTCTCACTTTTGTTATAACATTTCCGTCATCTGTATTATATCTTAATCCATATTTGGGCAATCGGAAACACTGTAAATATTGCGCGTATCTTCATTTGTTGTTAATTATATGTTTAGTGCGTGTATTTGAGTTCAAGCTATATAAATCATGAATGTTGTTGAAGTTGCTTGTCTTTTGGTTGTACGTCTGTTGTTCACATGCTTTCGATCATGCGTTTAATTCTGAAAATAGACCTCAGCCAAACATGAGCTTAGCCGTAAGCTTGATCCTCATCTATCGCATTTTTATAAGTTCAAAAATTGATCGATTGAATGACGCGAGTAACTAAAACTCTCATTGTTAATAAGGAATTTGCTTTTATTTCCGTTGATGGATGTTGCCGAAACTGATTCAGAAGACTGAAGGATCGCTCTTTTGTGAAATCATAAATAAATTCGATTGGAATCCATATGCACTCATCGTTTTTTGTTATCATGGAAAGAAGTTTTTCTGAGATGATTCTCTTTCTTCGAATGTTTCTCGTTAGAAGTTTCTGATGAAGGAGACTGACTACCCGTTGGAAATTGCTTCGAATTCGATCGATTTCCGTCTAATAAAAACAGTGAATTGTTACGTTACCACAAGAATCGAGCAATTCGACAGCACTGGTAGATTGCTTATAGTTCGACAGAGTTTCCGGGTATTTCTCACACAACATGCTCAATTATTCAGCGACGGTCAATTAATATTTGCGGTAGCTGAGAATTCATTAACAGACATACAGCATTATTCATTGAAGCTAGCTGAAGTCACTCCAGCTGAGAACTGCTCTGTTGCTGGTCAAAAAATGAGAATTCCATTGACACTGATGCTTCGATATTTTAAAATCGCGAAGAAATTCGACGTTGAGATGAGCAACAATTTCAATTGTTTATTCAGTAATCGTGCAGTTTAGGTCAAGAAAAAAGGGGTGTAGTCTATAACACACACAGAACATGCNTACTACAGCTATTTCCTCATAATAACAACTGATTTATCGAACGAGTAAGGAGCTAATTCTTGGTTCTGGGTGTTGAGAAGGTTATTAGGATTGTTCTTATTAACTCTAATCAACTTTGTTTGTTCTGGAGCTAGCGGTAAAAACCAGTATGACGACTGTTAGTTTATTAGATTTAACATCGCCTGTAAATTACTGGAGAACGTGAACTTCAAATGAGTGTTTACTAAGCACTGGACTTAACTAAGAGATATTGATAGTGTTTCTACTGGTTGCTGGGTGGAGTGAACCGAGGTTTCAAAGTCTCCTTCTAAAGAAAAGGATGCAGTGACGTTCCGCTTGAGCAATTGACCGTTACAGTTGCCACCGTTCTTGTATGGTTACGTTCAAGAATTTCCTCACTCAGTTTTTAGTTGATCGAAGGAAAGAGGAGCATGTTTGTACATTCAGATGCGCTGACTGAACACTGCTGAAGATTTCGACACGAAGCCTGACTCATGACTGCCGGAATGAAATGCAGAAGGTTTCATTCAAAGTTACATGCTCTACACAGAAAAAAAATTGAACATGATACAGACTCAGCAACCTCTCCTGTACATATCGCTAATTTTCAGAAAATGATGCCCGCTCTAGCTTGCTAATCTCATCGCAGCATTTACCCTAGCATGCACATGCCATACTATAAATGCTCTATCCGCTGCATTGCTTTTCCACCCCTTTTCTATGCTAAAAAAAATGCTAAATGTCTTTCATAAACTCTGTCTC